CTAAGTTTAAGGCAAAGCGAAGTGGTGAGTTCATAGTTTTTATAACCTTAAGAAAAGGAGTTTTAGAGAATTACTTCAGAGATTTCATTGTGGTAACTATTTTTTCCGAAGTTGACACACCAAATATGAAATTATGAAAAGCATATTCTACCACCACTTACGATCTTTCACAATCAGAAACAAGTTGAGAAGTCTTAGAAAAATTTTAGCCTGACAATGCCATCATCACACAGCAAAGCATCAGTTCAATAACAGAGGGAAGAGCAATGGTTGGGGGAAGGGCAGGTTGGTTAATGGGTTGATTTGTTGTATTTAGTGTTACCATGCAACAATGTATTTCTTATGTATATGGATTTTCATCAGCAGAGAGAAGGAGCAAAGTGGATAAAACCTAGTCTTCGGGCCATTTTGTTTTCATCCCCTGCCTTATTGGACTTGTTTGTTGTGAGTTAACTGTCAGAGACAGTCAACTTAACATTCATTTGTTAAGATATGTGAGAGCCAGGATAGAGGTCTCATGCCAACTAAAACCCTGGTCTTTCTCTTTAAATATACAAAGAAAAGTAAAACAAGAAGTGGCAATTCACAATGCAAACTAGGATCGAGGTGCGGGAGGCCAGGCAGGTCCCAGGGCCTGAAAAAGCACCCATGGGCTGGCACAGGAGAGTCTCCCTTCTGCTGCTGCTCTCGCATATTTGCAGAGTGAATAAGAGAATGATTGGTTATAGTTCAGACACCTGTTGTAAAATCAAACAATGAATCTGTCAGCTCAACCCCTCTACTTCCCCCACCTCATCTTCCCTCATCTTGCCCCACCCACTCTCCTCCCTTTCCACGTGACAGTGGAAGTATGTGCTGCCTTCTATGGTCAGTCTGAGGACCAAATCCTTTTCCCCACTCGCTGGCATTGTTCCCTGAGATTAGTTAAGGCCAGAGTTATTACATTTCTATTTTTCCTGAAGGACACTGTAAATTGTTTGAGCTTCTCCTATTTAGACTATATTAAACAAAGTTGAAAGACCTGTTTTTCCTTTCTTGCTCATTTTGAATTTCATTTGCATTGCCTTTGTGAAACCAGAGGGGTCATAAATGTGTGTGTGTGTGTGTGTGTGTGTGTGTGTGTTTACACATCCATATTTGAACCAACGGAGAGGAAAAGCCAGGAGGAAATTAATAAATTATGAATAAATTCCCTCAATAGCTTGAAATTTTTCTTTAAAGATAGCGAAGGGGTGGGAACTAACAAGAGTATAAGTATTTTTAAAATATTTGTGAGAGACTTTCATTAAAATGGAGTTTTGTGAGAATCTATTGACAGACTCAAAATAACAGGAAATTGAAATGAGTATATGTTTCTAAGTTTTTATTTTTAAATGTACATTCTAGATCAGAAATATTTAGTATTGTAAATATTTTATTTTTTAATCATCTATAATAATAAAAGTGTAATATGCTAATTAGACTGGACAGTCAAACGACCTTCCAGACATCCTTCCGGATGACCTTCCAGACGAAGCCAGGGCTGTGAGGGCCAAGGCAAGCTGCTGTGGCTGGGAGGGCTGAGGCCCTTGCTCAAATTTCGTGCATCGGGCCTCCAGTATATGATAATGGCTTATCTGCCTAGTGACTAGAACACCCGTAAGTCTACATGATTTTTACATAGCCCCTCAAACACTAGAAATTCTTCAAAATAATTCAGGTTCTAAATCAATTATAGTAAATCCTCACTTGATGTCAGTAGGTTCAGCAATTTTATGCAAACTTATTTACAACAAATCCAATTTAGCATAGGCTAATTGATATAAACAAGAGTTAAGATCTTAGGGAATCTCATCAACATTACAAGGAAATGACTTGAACTAAATATTATTTGAGGAACTTCTGTATGTCTTTGACTTTTTTTTCTTGGCCATATACTTTAGTATTGTGGCTACCAATTCTTTCCTTTATACCTGCAAACACATGGCAAAGTATTTTTAATAGTATTAGGTGTCCATTGGAACAAGCTGTTTTGACTTTGCTAGTACTCATTCTATTTCTTTTACAGGAGAACTAATCTATTTCCTCTTAATGGGATGTTAGGTTGACTCACAATGCCTGGGGGAAAATGATGTTATTTTGAAAGTCTATCTTAAAATTTCCTATCTGTAGCACGTAACTGTGGATATTAAGATTTGTCTTCACATGCCACCTACTAGTAGAGGAGTCCTCTTTGCTCCATGACCCCTTTGGGTACAAAACCTCCTCCTAACCCCATTTCCCCATCTCCAGTGATTCAAACTTCTTGCTGCAGATAGGCAGTGTCTCAATGTAAATGATGCGCACTGAGTAAGGTTAAAATCATAGGTTTACAGAATGCTCTTCTAAAGGAACTCTCTAAAAGGCAAAAGAGATCACAGCCTGTGAGATGCTAGCTATGGAATGTGACAAAATCACCTTTTGAAGAATTTCTGTGGTTTAGTGATTTTAGTCCAACAAAGGCTTGCATCTTTGTCTGTTTGTCCCAATCTCCTGAGCTTGCAGTTGAGCCAAAAATCTCCTGAGCCAAGCTTTCTCGCAAGATTTCCTGTACTTCCTGTTTCTATGTGAGCCAGAAATACCATGAGAATGACCTTTCTTGTGGTATTTTTGCACTTCTACCCTGAGATGAAGAGAATCCCATATTGGGGAGAATTTTTTTTAATTGTTCAACATTTCCAATTATCAAACTTTCAAATGAAGTAACTTCCTTCTTCCACCTTTGAGATGGTGTTTGCTTGGCCCTAATTCATCTCCACTAGGTAGTATTCATGTTCAATGATCCAACATTGAACATAACTTCTCTAAGATATTTTTACAAGGAAATATGTAGAACAATATAGAGAATACAGTGGAAATATATTCTTGGATTTTAAAAAATGCCATTCTTTAAGAAATGTGTAATGTGGAGTTGTATGATGAATACATTAGTGTATGTGACATATCATGTATCTGTTTTCTTTGTTCTTAACCCCTTTGTTCTGAGGGTCAGGATATCCTGATGCTAAGTACTATTGCAAAAAACTCAACAAAAATAAAAATAGTCGAACACTTAGGAAACTCTTCAGTTGTTATGTCAAGGAAGTTTGTGACTGAGGAGTGAGTTTAAGACATTATTCAGGAAATATGCCTATTAAATAAAACAGTCTCGATTCGGGAGAGACTTAATGCCCTCACTCTGATGAAAAGAAAAGATAAGAACTGGAAGGGTTGTCAAAAGTGGTAGAAGTGTCAGACAGATGCTTAAATGCTTTCATCTCTTAACAAAGAGGGAAGTTTAAAAAGACACATCTTTCTCAAAAATGGATCACTGATTATTTCCTAATTGGGTTGTATGTATATCTGGTTGTTATAGGAAGAGCTGTCTGATTAATATTTTAATTAATAAATTCATAAGCAGTAGTGTTTTCAATGTCATTTACTGTTGCTTTATACCCTCAAAGGATGTTGACCCTTCTTTATCTATTAGAAAAGACAGCAGGTTTGCCAGTGTACTTTTCTATCCAGAAAAAAGAAAAGCCACTTAATTCTGTATGGAAAACTCAACTTATTAACCATGGGTTTAGAAGAATAATAAAAACAAAATTACAGTAGCTGGTTTCAACTTTTAAAAAATGATATGAGGCCGTGAAAATAAAACACACCCTACAATGGTCTTCCTCCTCGCGCCCAAGTCTCCTCTTCCCTCCCCTAAAGAAACATCAAATGATTGTGTGATAAACCAACGCTGACAGAAATATAGAGCAGGAGTGACAGATTTTACATCAGCAAAATAAAATGCCAAGCAAAATAACGCACTTTGCAATGCAGAGAAAGGCAGGATTGTTGCAATGGCCTCCAAGAAAACAGAAGCTATCCGCATGAATGTTCAAGTTCAATTTGTTCCCACAAACCCGATTTGCTAGCAAAAGTGCGAACTACAATACCACCCTACCTTCGTTTATGTCCAGAGCTTTTCACACAAGCTGCAGGGGGCATCCTCTTTGTTGTATGGGTTCTGACTCCCAAGGTTAGCGCCTCTGTCTCTGAGCCCTGGGACCCTAGATGCGTGATCCATGATTGTCCTCAACTGAACCACTCTCAGTGGGGGCACAGCAGTTAGTGGCCCAAATATTAAGTCCACAGTGCTCTGTTTCTGGAAAGTGAATCTTCGACACTTACTTTCCTTTCTTTTCACTGCCATTTATGCCACCTACGAATACCTTTGAAATTATGATTATTTTCCTATGAAGTGGGTTGTTAACAATCCCAAGCGATGTGTCCGGACCATGCAACCCTACTGCACATTTGCATGAGGACCTTGATGCTTCCCTACTTCACTTCTTTCAGAGTTAGCTTTGGAGTGTGATTCAATGTTATTTCCCTTCCAACGGAGGGCAGCTAAGGTTACAAACGGATTTGACTAAGAGGCCAAAATCCAGTTAGGTTTGCTGAGAACCCAATGACAGCAGAGGGGGAGGGGTGTGAAGGAGGCGGGGAGGGTATATGACCTGTGGTGTTGAGGATCAATCCAAGAGCCTTTTGAAAAGCCCCATCCCCGTGGTGCAGACCGTAGTGGACAGGCAAGGTGGCCCCCAGCCAGACCATCCAGAGAGAAGCAGCTGCAAATCGGTTCTGCGGGAGCTCAGCTTCCCCTGTTTTCTAAGAGCTCCTTGAAGCTTGCTTCCTGCACCACAGGCTGACGCCTTACCTAACACCCCCACAGAGCTGGCCTCTAGGGGACCCCTGTGAGAAGCTGGCAAAGGGTAGCCCACTTTTTTTTTTTTTTTTTTTTTTTTGCCTGAAGTCCTGAACGGCTAAACAGGCCACTCGACAAACTTTGACAAGCACCAAAAGAGAATCGGGAACAAATAAATTAGAAGAAGAGGAAAAGCAAATGCTAAAACCTGGATGGCTTTTCCCCTGCTGTGGTTCCAGCTGCAGCCTGGGATTAATTAAGTGCCGTGAAGTCAGTGCCTGAGAGAGAAGGGGGAAATGCGTTCTATCTCTCAGGAAGGAGTCTAGCATCAGTTCTCACCAGCGAGAAGCCCTGGGAAGTGAACCGCGGTCGCTGTCAGTGTTTGTGGAGGGACTGGAGGGACAGGGTGGCTGCGCCAGGCTGGAGGAGGCTTGCCTTTCCAAAGCTGGAGAGGATTTCACCGGGGCTCTCCTTCCCGTGCCCGGGAAGAATCTCCCCTCTGCTAGCAGCACCCGCGGCGGCGGCAGCAGCCCTACCTCCTCTTCTGGGGAACAGGGCAGAATGCCTGTGCTAGAGCGCTATTTCCACTCGGCAGAGCTAGGCAGAAGGTGGACAGCCCCAGAAGGTGTGCTGCCCTCCTCCCTGGGCAGCCGGCCGGGGTGCCAGCAGGGGCCGCTGCCCTGGGACTTGCCAGAGATGATCAGGATGGTCAAGCTGGTTTGGAAATCCAAAAGTGAGCTGCAGGCGACCAGACAGAGAGGCATTCTGGAGAATGAAGATGCTCTGCACAGCTTTCCAGGTAAATTGACTGTGAGGTGTGGACGGTAGCAGGGCCAGATCTGATTACTTTCAGTCCCTTTTTTGGAGAGGTCAAACCATAAAAATGGGAAAAGGAAGGAAGACGGGCTGTGCAGCAGAGGGTCCGAGGTCTGTGAACGAATGTTTGCTCTGTTATAGAAATGCATCTTAAAATTAAATGTTGTGGTAGGGGGAGCATTAATAGCCTGAAAATCAAGAAATCTGGGTCCTGGGCTCAGCTCACCACTTGCTTACCCCATGGCTTAAGCAAGTGGAATTTCCTGAGCTTCAGCCCCCAAAAGGAGGGGGTGGGTTGGGTGCTCTTTAATGTCTATTACTGCCTCTGCAATTTCTTGTTGACAAGTCAGAGTTATCTCTGAGAGAATATTCTTCTTGGCTTGCTTTTTATAATGCTCAATACAAGTTAAAATATGTTTCCAATGTTTAACTATGAAACCACAGTCTATATGAATGATCCCAGGACTGAGTTTGGCCTGGAAGCTTTTTATGTCATGGGAAAGTTGGTAAACTTCCTTGCCTCAGTTTCCCATTTTGATACATGGCAGTAATACGGATTCCCTCATTGATGACAGGAAAAATGAACTCCACAAATGTGCAAATGATTCACTGGGGCTTTGTCATGTTACAAGAATGTGCTGTGTTCGGGTCAGTTGCGGAGAACTTTGCTGTGTTTCTAACAGTGGGCAGTGCAGCCACAAAGACACCCAGGAGCCCTGTGAAGGATCTCGAGGGGCCCTGATAATGCTATACACTGTGATTGCATGCAGGGTGCCACCTTCCTTAAGGAGTATGTTGGCAGATGTTTGGAAAGTGGTGGTCCACTCTAGAAGAATGAATGTGAGCATGTGTTTATGTATTTGAAGTCGGGGCTAGCCCTGACATACTTGTACCATTGGTGGTGAGAGATGGGGGACTAGATGGGAAAGATATACCAAAACTTATCTCTCTCTTTCGCATGGAAAGAGACTAGGAAATCAAAACTTGACTAATTTTGTTTTTAATCATTTACACAGACATTGTTTTAAGTTGCCTAAAAGTCTAAAAAGAATGTTACTAAAAAAATAATGGTCTGGGGGAAAGAAAGATTTCAAAGGAAGAAAAACACAATGTTCGTCTTTGGTAAACAATGAATACTTGGGAAAGAGAAGGAAAGCAATAGGACTGAGTTTTCTGTGGCAAATAGGAGATGGGTGCCCAGAGAAGTAGGTTTTGGTCAGAAGAAATGAGGTAATGCCCAAGGAATCCCAAATTTCATGTGAGTAGTATAAGAAAAATGGAAAAACCCACCTGGGCAGAAAAGTTAACTATGACACTTCAACTATTACCACTCTTGGTTTGTTGCAGAATATTAAATAAGTATGATGCATAATTCAAATCACATCTGTGATAAAACTATCTAGTCAGCAGATATTAGCATGCTTGTGGGACTAGGTGTATTATTATTTATGTTATATGTTAGTGGGTGTCTAGTTCCTGAAAAAGCAATACTACAGGGAGAAAACAGAGCTCCTGTAACTTTTTTTATCACTTAAAAGGTACATTTTTCTGGATGTTATAAAATTGAGTTAGTTGAGTGTTATTATGCCCCTGGACTACTGCCTCACTTTAATTGGAATATGTCTCGGTGGCTACCTTGGTTTCAAGGCAGGCTCCATTTCAACACCTTGTCTTCTTTCTCCCCTGCCTTCCCATTCTCAGGCTTACACTTTGTCATGAGCATAAAGCCTTATCCTCCATATTAACTTTTGGGGCCATGTGATGAAGCCCCCAAAGACCGGTTGCTTCACTTTCCAAATGGTCTCACACCTTGTTGCTGATGCTGCATGTTCTCCTCCCACCAGGTGCTCTTCAACTGAGCCATTTTCACTATAATAGCCTGCCAGTGAGGGACACGGGAACGCTTGTAAAATATTTCAAAAAATCTGGTATTTTTTTATTTTGAAAAAGTGATGGTTTAAGCTATGCTTTGTTCTTGTACAGGGGTTTAAGGTAGAAAGCATCTACAAAAACAAAAACAAAAACAAAAACAAAACACCAATTTAGATGGTAGTGTCTCTGTCTCTCTGTTTTTTTTTTTTTTTGTGTGTGTGTGTGTGTGTGTGTGATCTGACCTTTACCTCAGCTCCTCAGTTTCTTCTTCAACCATACTAAACAACTTGCTATTCAAGTGGTGCCTGCCTGTGAGCCTTGCCTTGGGCTAGGATGTCTTTCTTTGACTCAGTCAACTGGAAATGTCTGTTCAAACTACAAAGTCCCCTTCTAGCAGCTCAAGCATCCTTTTCTTTGTAGTGACTTTCCTGATCTCCACTCCTACCCCCGCCCTCCCCCACAGTCATTTATTCCCCTCTCGTTACCTCTTTACCTGTGGGATTTAACCTATTACATTTATAGCACACAATATTTTTGCCATGTTAGTAACCAAAAACAGAAAAATTAAATCCTGTGACAGTCTATGTATATTTTGACTGCTGTCCATAATGGATGAATAGGTTTACGTTTTTAAAAACCACAAAATTGCAGAAATTCTGAATAGTATCAACAGTCTAAAGGACTTTAGAGACAGATGTCAGTGTTTCTTTATAAGTCAGATTTAACCTTAAAGTTTTCAGCTTTTCTTTTCCTTAGTGAAGGGCATCGTTATTTTTGCTCATACTTCTAGACAAGACTGGGACATTGTTTCTCACAAGTGAAACAGAAGAGTATTCTGAGATTTTGCTTAGGTAATTAAGGGGAGAGCAAAAAGATTTATGGGAAAGTAAATGCATAAAAATGTATTCGTGAGAGATTTTAAGATGAAATATACTGAATTGTGAGTGATGGGAGGCAGAAGGGAACAGTGTTCCCTGAAGAGAGTGAGAAAGTGCTAGAGAGGAGGTGACATGTGTGAGCCGTCCTGTCATCTTCAGAGGGGCATTCACTGGAGACTATTGGTGACTATCCAAAGGCTGGAGGAGGAAATGGGGGTGACAGGAGGAAGAGAGGCTTGTCATCTTTACATGTCAGGGTGTGTGCATCTGGGCGTGCCCCCAGAGCTGAGCATTGGCTGAGGCACTGTTCACCCTGGAGAAGGATTCTCAAGGTTAGATCGGCATGCCCAGTCAGAGCATCAGTTCAGTCCATTGAATTACTTAATGTTATTAATAGTCCCATCATTTTTCCTTTATGAAGAAAACGAAGGGTGGTCTAATTATCTAGTTAACACTAGATCAAGTGAATAGATCAAAGAGACTAAACAATTTGTCCAGGGTCACACATTGAGACTGTGACAGAACCAGATTTGTATCTCAATGGCCCATATCTAGTCCACAAAACTTACATTATGAGGGCATGTTCTGAGTAATTTAAATGTGAACCAACATATGGCTTTATTGACTATATGTAGATGGGCAAACATGAGAACTCATAAATCTTGGCCAACCTAGAAAAATAATATTGCCATAAAAAAATAAGTCAAAGGATTGTACTTCCTTTACATTTTTCTATTTATTTTTTAAATATATTTTATTGATTTTTACAGAGAGGAAGGGAGAGGGATAGAGAGTTAGAAACATCGATCAGCTGCCTCTTGCATACTCCCTACTGGGTATGTGCCCGCAACCAAGGTACATTCCCTTGGCCAGAATCGAACCTGGGACACTTGAGTCCAAAGGCCAACGCTCTATCCACTGAGCCAAACTGGTTAGAGCTTTTCTATTTACTTTGTAGGCTTTAGTTTTAGATCCAAGCTTCAAGTGCTGGGAAGGCCCTGAGAAAGATCCCCATTTATAGTCAATAGGAAATAAGCTTTAGAGCTTGGTGGTGAGACCTTGCCCAGAAGTTGGAGAGTGGGGAGAGGGAAAAAGGACAGGAAAGAAATACATGGCTTCTCAAGTGCTGTAAGTGCAAATATTATTCTAATTGTGATTCCAGTCTGCAATCTGTGTAAGACTAGACATCCCTTAGCAGGCCTTGTTCTTAGTTGAATAAATAATTTGATTTCAGAATTCAACCAAATAACTGCAAACTCTGCAGCTATAGAACTTACCTTTCATTTGGGTGTTCCTGGCCTAAATATTGCATTACATTTTACTTATTGATTAAGCTTGTTTCCGTTTCAATAACCCTTGGCTTCAGGAAAATATAAAAACACACAACTCCCTCAAAAAGAAATTATTTTCCCCATAGTCATTGTACTTGTCCTGTCTTTCAAGAATACAAATATAAATTAGCTTTTCACTCAGCCCTTAAAATCAAACAACTTCAGATGAGAAAACCTCCAAAGGAATTCTCTGATTCCAGCACTCTACAATTCAAATTGACATTTAAAGTGCCATGTTAAAATACCTCACGTATCAAGCATGACATAAATTAAAGATGTTGAAGACTGAACACTTGGTCATTATAATTCAAAGAGCACTTATTGGATACTTAATGTATACCAGGGATTCAGAGATGAATCAAATGCTTAATGAGAGAAGAAAAATTATGAATTTATGAATCAGAATTCTGTCTACAACTTCAGCATGGAAACAAGCCCTTGTTAGTTTAAACCTCTATGTCAACTGAAAGTATTGGCTATAAAATACATAAAACACTTGGAAAAATTCAAACACACTTTCCAACACTCATCAATATTAATGATTTCATTCAAAGCAGGACAAATTGCTATAATCAAAGAATCAATTAGTCTTAATAGAAGATAACTTGACATTAATTCATAACATTTTTCTAAAACTACTTCTTGTAGATGTTAGCCTGCATTTAGTCTGTAGCTCTACTGGATAATAATCATTGATGATTTAATCTGTCTATGAAATGCAGATGCAAAATTGAGTCAAAACCATAATGCATCATCTCACCTTGAGCCAAACCTGTTCTTTCACCTGACTTCCTTGTAACTGCTCTCTCCAGCTCTCCAATTCCAATTGGTTCTAAGTATATAAGACTGGTTAAGAGTAATCGAGTGTTGTTGCAGTGTTGAGATTTTAAGGTTTAAATCCT